TATATAGTTTGAGGCCATCGCTATTAGGTTGGTGGCCGTCCCTATTAGGTTGAAGGCCATCGCTCTTAGGTCGGGGGCCATCGCTGTTTGGTTGAAGGCCATCGCTATTAGGTTGGAGGCCATTGCTACTAGGTTGGAGGCCATCGCTACTAGGTTGGAGGCCATCGCTATTAGGTTGGAGGCCATTGCCATTAGGTTGGAGGCCATTGCTAGTAGGTTGGAGGCGGTTGCTACCAGGTTGGAGGCCATCGATATAAGGTTGGAGGCCATTGCTATCCGGTAGGAGGCCATCACCATGCTCTAAGGTATGAGGCCATCGCTATTAAGCTGCAAAAAACATCGCTATTAGGCTGGAGGCGAGCCATGGCTTTTAGGTTGCAGACCATTGCTATTAGGTTGGAGGCCATCGCAATTAGGTTGGGGGCTATTACTATTAGGTTGGAGGCCATCGCTGGTTCGAGGTCATTGCCATTAGGTTGGAGGCCATCGCTATTAGGTTGGAGGACATCACTATCAGGTTGGAGGTCATTGCCATTAGGTTGGAGGCCATTGCTATTAGATTGGAGGCCATTGCTACTAGGTTGGAAGTCATCACTATAAGGTTGGAGGCCATCGCTACTAGGTTGGAGGTCATCGCTATCAGGTGGGAGGCCATCACTATTAGGTTGGAGGCCATCGCTATTCGGTTGGAGGCCATTGCTACTAGGTCGGATGCCATCGCTACTAGGTTGGAGGCCATCGCTATTAGGTTGGAGGCCATTGCTACTAGGTTGGAGGCCATCGCTATTAATTAGGTCGGGCCATCGCTATTAATTGGGTCGGAGGCGCGTGAGTGATGCTCAATGTCTTCAAGTTTGAAACCCCTCATTGTGATCGGAAACCTTCTCCCATCCTATCTTACTTTGCATGCTCCGGAGAATATGGGTTAGAACAAAACCACCACGGGAATGAACAAGTCTTCTTTGAAACTACAGCAGCATCAAGAAACAATATGCAGTCTACGAACAGGTTTCGCAGTGTCGTGAAATCTTAAAAAATTGGCTTGCCAGTCCAAAGAAAGGGGCAAGGCAATCATGCCATTTCATGTTTTCTCCTAGTGCAGAACGTTTTCCGAGACAGTTCCAGAGACACCTTTGCTGGGTCAAGTTCTTGCTTCATTGAGCGCAGCTCATATTTCACTGAACAAGACAGAAGAACGGTGGAGATTTGGGACATGAGGTTTCAACAGAAGAAGGCCGAAGCTGAGAAGGCCGAGGTGCTGGCCCATAGCACACGTTCACTGCAAAGTTTTTGAGTCAAAGGCACATTTAGGCATTTCATAGCTTCTAGTCTCCAAGCGTCTTATTTTAGTCAGAAGATGCTTTTGACCCTTTGCTCAGGCTGCAGCACGTGTGGCGGAAGAAAAAGTGAATGCATTGGTGCACCAGCGCTCCGAGATTCACGAAGAGGCCAAGCCACGCCGTGCTTCGAAGCTCGTAAGAGACAGAGGTAGAGGGAGAGAAGCATGCCAAAGCGTGCTATGGTTGTTGGAGGCCATCGCTATTAGGTTGGAGGCCATTCTTATATCCAAAGCGTGCTGCGTGCTATTCAAAACTTCAAGAGCCTGTCGTCCTGACTTTAGTGAGATCAGGCAGTGCCAAGATTTTATTAGGACTTGGTTTGGAAGGGGTAAGAAGTAAGAAGTAAGAGTCCTAGGACCTCCTAAGACCTCTTAATGCCTAAGACATGTGTGTGCTTTGAAGAGTACTGAAAACACTTCAAATTCTAGATCTTTGGGGGGAGCACTATACGTATGGAACGACATAGCCTGCCCAATGACTGCACTTCTTCCACGGATAGATCAAAGGCTGTTTGCAGAATGAGCTGAGTTGTCAATAGAGGACTCAAATGACTTGTGGATAGCGAAGACTCATGCAGGGTCCAGGCGAATAGCAATGCTACTGTTTATCTGGCTTTGTTCAAGTCCAACCTCGGACCCCAGCAGAATATATAGTGGATTGTACGTGGAAATGCAGATGTTTTTCCTATCAGCCACTCAGCCACTCAAGATCCTGAGTGGCTGAGTGGCTGACAGGAAGAAAATCCCGAGCGGCCGAGCGGTGGAGTGGCTGGTGTGGAGTAGTCGTCGTAGTAGTAGTATTAGTAGCACTACTACTACTACTACTACAGCAACCAGAACAAGAACAAGAACAACCACGACCACCACCACCACAACCACCACCACCACCACGTCGACGACGACTAGTACTACTACCGTTTTGACTACAAAGACGAATAGTGCTACTACTAACTCTGCTTCTACTACAACGGCTACTCCACACCAGCCACTCAACCACTCAGCCACTCAGGCTTTTCCTCGGGCACATGTCGCAAATACCGGTGTTGCGGCGGATCCATGCCCATGGACGGTGGTGATACATCGCAAAGAAAAACAAAGTGGATCAACCACGTCTGACATCAATATTTTCTAGTCTTCGATTTTGAATAGGAATATAGACAAAGGCCAAGAAATCACACAGTGAGTTTTAACACACCCCTGAACTAGGGTCAAACAGAAAGCTGCTAGCTGGGAGATTTGGATTGGTGCTTTCTGTGGCCAGTTCGTCAAGCGTAAATTGTTGACGTTAATGTAGTCAGTGGTGCAGGAGTTGCAGCTTTGTTTTTTTTTGAATTTGCCACATGATCTTACCGTATGAACTTAAACGATACTAAGATATATGATAACAAGGGTGTTTTTTCTAAAGATCGCATTGCATAATTGGACACACCATTTCTAGCCATACACTTGTTGTTCCCAGTCAAGCTTTGGCTGGTGATGTTTTCATAAGGTTTTCCTGTAGAGGGAATGGTGATTGCAAATCCAACAATCTTCGCTAAAGGCAGCTGAATACCTGAAATCTGTCTTGAGAACACATCTAACGTGAATCAACGTGCAGTAGTTGGTATTGGGAGATCAGTCTATCTAAATCAGATGAATTATGCATAATAGGCTTTCTTTTTCCTTTATCTACGGTTTTGCTGGATGCAAAGGCAAGCAAACATTGCTACCAATATGACAACGCATGTTGTAAGAGCCATTATGAAAATTGGAAGAGCAAAAACAACACATACACACAACAGGCATGATATGCATAGCTAGTCTTTTTGATCTCAGGCTCTTGACAGCAAGATCAAAATCAAAATCAGTCATGAAGTCTGTCTGGCTTGGGATCGCTTTCTATAAGAGCTAAGCGTTTATCCTGGATATAACGTCCCCATAGTTATATAAGTTTTTGTAATTCATACCCTTTGGTGCTTTCCACTTATCTCTAGACTATATATTGGAGTTGATCGAAAACCCCGTGTAAGGAGTTTTATATAAAACAGCCTTTCAGACGTTGTTAGAACCATCCGCGAAAGATTCGCGATGAGGTTCGTGAAAGTATTATCTTTTCCGCGAAAGATTTATCGAAGGTCATCGCTTTCATTGTTTTCCTTCTACCGGACTGACAAAGAATAGACACGCAAGGCAATCCTCCGGCAGAGCCAGTGGGCGGAAGTGTCGCCATATGTCACAGACTAACGAACTGAAGCCTCAACATTTCCGTGCCCAGCCCTGGCAGTGCGTAAAGGATTCTCCGATTCCTGTCCCCACTGTCACAGACTAGCAATCTGGGTAGGCACAGCCCTGACAGTGAGGCAACGACCTGCAGCTGCTCTGACGGGCTGTGCAGATGTTTGCAAATGTTACGGCTTCCCGGGAAAGGGCCAGTGAAATTTCGCGAAAGATCCACGAAAGCTTCGCGAATGTGCCGCTAAAGTCTATAGATCTAGGTTCCCAGCTTGAGGCCTCCCAACATTCCCCAAGCTGCACCACCCTGTGGTAGCTGGCACGAGGATTGGGTTGAGTTGTGTCTGACTCTATTTGGCACAATTGTCGCACAGATGCTGCAAGTGACCCTGAGTAGCTGTGGAAACGTTCAACCATCTACTGGGGTCATGCTGCAAGATGTCTCTCCCTATTTTGTGATACTATGACATGTTCCGGCTCATGTTAGCTAGACATGGTTGTAGGACCATGCTTCGCGATGAGGCCGTGAAAGATCCGTGAAAGATATCTTTTTCCGCGATGAATGGCCATTCCAGGATGAAAGAATATTGATCAACCACCATACATATGGAAGTGTAACCTTATTGAATTGAAGATGCTGTTGCACTAACTAATTCATAGCGTTGCCTCAGTAGTTATAAACAGTAAACAATCCATTCAGGCTCCTCAGAATTCCACATAATTCAACAGTATGGTAATGTTAACTGTGCAGAAGCCCTCTGAATCGTGTGATATCTTGACTGATGCTCAGAATGGCCAAGTCAACATGTTAACTGATACGGATGAACATGTTACTTGATACCATCAGCAACGTTCAGATCGTTCAGCTCGGGCTTAACGACCGCATGGTCGCTTGAACCCCCAAAACTGCGGAACGACGAAAGAATCGCGAACTGCGCGCGACGACAAAAATCCCAAGAGCGCCACGTCGTCCGAACACGAGTCAAACAACACCCTTTATGTCCATAGATTCCTTGACATGCAACATCTACATACCAAGAGAACAGTCGTGGATGATGTTTCACAAAAATGATCATCGTGAAACGATTGTTATTATCCCCCCCCACCCCCCACCCACCCGAGGATTGAAAAGTGGAAAGTGATATGAAATGGTGTCGAAATTGAAAGTATATGAAGTGGTGTCGAAGTTGAAAGCAAGAAAAATACTACGACTACACGTTCGGTTTTCAATCCGCAGGCAATAACTAGCCTAGCATGTGTGTATATATATATATATACACAGTGTATATATATACATACATATTGAGCTAGACATGCATGCAGCATGTAAGAATGGTAGATATTGGGGGGATGGATGGCATATTTTTTTCATTACACGACACGTTGAGGCGCTTTTCATTGAGAGATCATTTTGAATCTTCCTGTGGATTCCAATCTAAGATTCATTTTCAGGTAGCGCAGCAAAAGCAAGAGCTACAGGTTGAGGCACGTTCCAAGATTGATGCACCCACGTTGGGCCAAACGTCGAAAAGAATCTAGGAGACTATTTCATTCTTGCTTGTCAATCAGCAGAGCAGCTGGACACAGATTCATGGTTAGACTCACTTCATTTTTGGCTCCTCGTCCAGATAATGCAGGAAGATGCAATACGTCAAGCCTTGTTCAACACATCTATTGTTTAATGCTTTTGCCAGACCAAGTGCACATCGGGCAGGACAAATCATCATCTTAAATCACAGAGGGAGCTGGAATGGGATACCGAAGTCCCGAAAGTTTGCAAGGCTATGAAGCACACCGTGCTCATGCGTCTTGCCACTCTCCTTTGCATGGTCACACCTTGCAGCGCAGCGCCCTATGCAAAAATGCCACTGCTGATGCCATCTGCACGTTTCGAACTACGAGATGGCCACAGCATGCCTGTCGTGGGGTTAGGCGTTTACATGTCGAAGCCAGGAAAGGAGACATACGATGCAGTGACTTTGACCAGAACGATCTGCTTTAAGGGATCTTGAAGGCCTTTTTCTAAAAGAGGGGTTGAAGTTTCCGAAACCTACCGTAAGAGTTTTGGGCTGGTGTCAGTGTTTAGCCGTTTCTCTCCTCACTTTATTTGAGCGTCGTAGTTTGGCTAGTCATGAGAAAAAGTCGGAATTGCTGGATTTGCACTCATGCAAGTCAAGTAGAATACCTTTCGCAATCTCAACATTCTGAGTTTCCCAAAGGTGAAATGGGCCTTGGAAGCTGGCTACCGCATGATCGACACTGCGGCCATCTATCAAAATGAAGATAGTGTGGGGGCAGCTCAGCAGCATGGGCTTGACCAAGCCCCCCCCAAAAAGAAACATGTTAGTTGTTCCTGACATGTTAGGTTTGCAAATTCTACTGGTTGGATGGCTGAGCATGGATTGATTGGAGAGCCACACGGGCTGATCCGGCAAGTTATCCAAATGGGGGAATGAGTTCCTATGCTGTGAGTCGACTGGAATCATGTCCTATCATGCCCAAGGCCTCAGGCAGACATTCTATTTTTTCAGGTTGGAGGCCACCAACCTACTAGCGATGGCCTCCAACCTAATAGTGCGAAGATGAAGCATTCCAACTTTCATGGATGACACGCACAAAACGTGCATACAAACCGAAGACCCTTTTGAGCGGATCAAAGAGCTCACGCATGGTAGCGGAGCTGTGAGGGACACTCCTAAGGTTTGTCCTGAGCTCCAGAGCTCTGATCGGGGACCGAACCCTATCCCCCTCGCGCCCCGGTTCCACTCGCTTGCCGTGCCACCATAAACTAGTGTCGCACGATCTCGCATTCATTGCTTGAGATTACGTGGCCACGGAGCGTGAAGAACACCTTGGACTACCACTTTGCCCACATCCAGTTGAAGAAGGAAGTTTTTGAGGTCCAGGAAGTGGAACCACATCCTTTTGCCGGAGGTCGTCCCGGAGGAAGAGAAGGGTGAGATTGGAGCTTTTGAATCCAAGCTGAAATGGACGGGTCTGGACCTACAGGTTTCGAGGATTTGACCCAAGCATTGATTGCAGCAGCCCAAGCAGCAACTCAGGCAGTCCAGACAGCCACGTCGACGGGATCTGGGTCAGGAGCTCCAACAGGGGAACCAAGTGGCCTTTTGAAGAAGGATCTAGCCCGTTTGATTCCAAGACCCGGCACGTTCCAACCCACTGATAGGGAACAGGAGATTCTTCAGTGGAGAGACGGCTTTTGGAGCATGAAACAGTATTTGGTGGTGGTGGACAGCGCCTACCAGGACGAGCTGGAGAAGATTGAGGAGAAGAGTGGAGAGGAGATCGAATGGTCATTCCTCACGGAGAAGGAGCAGGAAAGGGCACGCTTCCTGTATAGCTTGCTTGGGAGCTTGATCCATGGAAGATAGGTCGGCCTGATCAAGAACGTGCCCCACTACAATGGATTTGAAGCGTTGAGACAGTTGATACTCAATTGCCAGCCTCAAGCTCGAAATCGAACAATGAACTTGTTGCAAGGCGTCATGGCCTATCCGAGCTTTAACATGAAGCTGTCCATTCTGCCCCAGCTGTTGAAGTTAGAAGAACACTTTACACAGTATGAACGGTTGGGAGGAAAACTACCACCAGATATGAGGGCTGCAGTTCCTCTGAAGGCTATTTCTGGCCCCCTCAAGGTCCACTTCAACATGACGTTGAACGAGGGCAGCTCCTATGGTAAGATAAGAGAGGCAGTGCTGGCCTATGACACAGCGAACACGAAGTGGACCATATGGATTGCCGCACTTGTAGACCTGCGGTGACTCTTCGATCCTGACCAATCGCTATCCGGGAAAGTCTCCAGCAACCATCTTGAGGTATCACATCGTGTAACCAATCCATGGCCTGCTTCTTCCAGTTCAAGGACTCCATATTGGCCCATCGTGGATTTCAGGTAGCCGATCATCTTTGCCAGCTTCTTGAGACTTCCTGTCGTAGGGCACGCCATGCTTGATGCCAGCTCTTTCACCGCAAAGCTGATGTCCATCCTCTCCTGGCTCAGGTAGATGCCACATCCAACCAATGAGCGATATAAACCTGCCAGTTCAATCCCCAATGGCGTAGTCCCATCTGGTTCCAGCATCTCCTGTCCACAGGGAAGTTGTTGTGTCTTCACTCTTCCCATCATGGCCTCATACTTCTCAACCATCTCCTCTGCGTACTTGCCTGGATAGACTCGTAAGGTGGGGTTCTCCTCTTCATTGACAAGCTCATAGGTCCGCCTCAGAAACTGGATCTGGTCCTTCTCCTTCTCAATGTGCTGTTGCGAGATCTCAAATCGAACTTGTATTGCGGGCAGGAAAACTTGACTTACATATGACTCCTTTCCCACAAACATGATGTCATCCACATGGATCAGAAGCATCATGTCATCTTTGCGCCTGCCCAAACAAGGGTTCTCATCCGCGAACTCGAATCCTTTCTCTCCCAACCGTCCCAACCATGATGTGATGCACTCATACCATGCCTTCGCTCCAATGCGTTGTCCAGGCAAGTTCTTGAGCACTTCAAAGTGGCCATTGGGAGTTCTGAACTGCGTAGGCACCGCTTGGTCAACCTGTAGGAAGGCGTCCTTCACATCCAAGCTTCCCAGCCAATACTTCTCACCGCCAGCTTCTTCCTCCTTCTTCTTCATGAGGTAGATGAGTGGAAGCAACCGCAAGGTCTGTCCACCCGTTGCTGGAGAATGCACCTCATCATTCCTCTCTAAAGCGTACTCCCGGGCAACCATTCTTGACCTCCTAAGCCACTGCTTCTTCCCATCTTCAGGCCTGGGTTTTGCTCTCCAATCATGCACAAACCTGGTGGTCAGGGTTTTGTGGCCCATCAAAGGTCCCTTCATGGCCCGAAGCACTCCCATTCTTTGCAACCTCTCCTCCTCAACAATATCTGCGAGGTCGTCCACCCACTTGGGAGGATCAGGTGGTACTCGGTCAAGAAGAGCCGATGACCACAACTCCTTGGGCACATCTCCTCCTGGCAGCACCTCCTCTTCTTCTGGCTCCACATTCCAGCTGATGAAGTCATCATCCCAAATGCTGTCATTGTGGTAGAACACATCACCTCCAACTTGGGTGGCTGCAACCCTCCTCTCCACATGTTGCGCATCATCAGGCTTAGCCCTCTTTGGATCCGGGCTCATCATCTCCAAGCCATGAACTGGCTTCTCCATAGTGGGCTTCAGCTTCTTGGAGTCCTGAGTCCTGTTCCGAGCTTTCCTCCATAGATGCCTGCTTCTGTGCTGTGGTTCTCGGACTCGATGATGGTCGTCCACTTGAGGGTCCGGCTTGATTGTTCTCTTCATCGATGAGGGGCTGCGCCTGAGCAATGGGAATCACCTCCAGCAATGCAGGATCCTCCTCTCTGAAGCTAACCTTCTTGTCCTCACGAATCCTCTTTTCTTCTTCCTCTGTGGCCTTCTCTTTCTCAGCTTCCTCATCATCCTTTCGTTGATCAATCTTCCCAGCGTAGGATCTGGCAAACGTGATCACCTCATAGGCCTCCTTGTCGTCCTCAGCCAACTTCTCCAGATCTTCAACTGGGAGCGACGCAGCCGGTCCTTCCACCACTGCTATCAACCTTTTCGAAGGCACGATTCTTCCCCCGAAGTTTGTCTGGTATTCCCAGCTGTAGGCACTGAATGCTTTGAAGCAGCTGAGAAAGGATTGCCAAGACTGCTCCACCCTGCGGATTGATCGACTCAAGAAGACTCGACTGCCATCTCCAATGATCCAACAATCCTGGGTCTCACTCTTTCCAAGGCATATTCCAATCTTCCACTTGGGATCCGCTTTGTAGCCCTGCTTTGGCTTGACATAGGCATGGACCACTTCCCCATACCGGCAAACCTTTCCATCATAGGGCCTTCCATAGACGAGCTCGTAGCTTGTAGTTCCCTGCGTGGCTTGGAACCTGTTGAAAACCCAAGCGCTATGCCGACAGCACCAGCTCCACAAGGGATGTTGGGCACTAAAGCGCATGTTGCGACCTCCTCCATGAGACTTGCTGCACTCCTCTGATCCTTTGGACTGCGTTCTCTGCAAGGGAGTTGCCCGAAGAGTCGTACAGCTTGGTAGTCCTCATATGGGTTTCCAAACCAATTGCTGTCCTCGCCTGCACCAACAACTTCAGCACTTGTCGAGTGGCTGGCTCATTGTCCATAATATGTCACCTTCTCATGGCCAAGTAGTTGGGTGAAGGCGAGCAACTCGTGGGCGATAAGGCTTGTCTGGTTCTTTGAGCGAAGTGGCAAGCCCATCAAATAGCCCGTTTCGGAGCACACCGCAATCAGCCAAAGCGCTCCTCCTTCAATCTGGGCTTGGTCAACCTCCTCCGGCACTCCAAGTGGCCCTATTCCCCGCGCATTCGTGTAGGAAAAGTCGAGCGACGCCACTGGTCCTGACTCCCGAGCTTTTCCTGTGCGCCTGTGGGGATCTGGTCGTCCTGGATGCTTAATGCAGGCGGAACACCAAGGTGCGTACGGGGCGTGTGTGAGGGCATGCTTTCTCTTCTCTTCCTCACCTGGCTCCTTTGCAAGCGCCTGCTCCCGTGGTTCTCGACCTTGTAGCTCTTGGGCATGCTTGGCAAGATCTCGAGCCTGTAGGAGTTCCAGACGGGCTTGATGCTCGACAAGGCGGCCAAAACACTTGCGCTTACTGCCTGATTGCCCAACTTGGTAGAAAGCACATGCAGCTCTGAGTGTGCGCAAGGGGCTGTCCAGAGAAAGGTCCACCCCATTGACTTGAATCCTGTCTGGGACGGCAACCCCAACTTCGAATCTCACCTGCTGGTCATCGAGATCAGCTCCTCCTGGACCTTCAGGCTCGCCAATCTCTCGTCCCTCGAATGCCTCAACTTCACCCTCATCGTCGGCTATTGGGATGGCATAGTCCTCCTCATTCACTCTTCTTCTCTTTGAGGCCTCATAGTCAAATCCTTCAACCTCAAAGCCAAGATCCTTTGGTGCTTGGGATGTCGTGGAGTGTGCCACAAAGGTGATGATCTTCGCCATGTATTCAACTCTCAACTCCTCGATCTCTTCCTCCTGGTCTTCTAGCCCATCCACCGGCTCACTCATCTCCACCAGTTGCCACTGGTCGCCCTTCTTGACTACCGTGGATCGGCTCATTCCTTCTCCTTGGTGCCTCATGTCCGGGATGAACTGGGGGCTTTGGAAGTGCTGTCCACGATGCACTCCAATCCATCTCTCCCCATGGCGCTTCCATCCCAACTGGTCCATCTCAATCTTCTTCAGGCCTTCTCCCAAAGTGACCTTCAAAGCTCTCACAAAGCTTGCCAGGGCCACATTCCTGATCTGTCCCTGTACGACCAGGCTCTGGTTCTGCAGGTCAATAGGCACCTTCACCTCTCCGTTGACCAAACACCTCTCCTCTCCGCTGATTGACCATCCTGAACGAAGAAGATGACCAAAAGAAAGGATAGGTTGGGACACCACGTCACTGACTGTCACCCTTTCCTTCAGCACCATGAGCCTGTCGTCCTCAGCCTTCAGCTCAATGTCGATGTCTCTGTGCCCATAGGTTCTGATTGCCCTTCCCTGAGCATCCTGGAGATACGGCGACATTCCACGAGCCTTCCGGCCTTGCTTCAACATGTGGCCTGGGAGCATCTGCTCCTGAATTGATGATGATCGTTGCCATCACTCCATCACCATCGCCGGTTGGGCCATCATCCACCTGGTACTCCTCCTCAGGTGGCACCTCATAGATGGCATTCACTCTCAAGGCACCTTCGTAGTCCTCCTCATCGTCCGTTGCGATGCTGTAGAACTCAACTGCTACTCTTTTCCTCGGCTCTTCAACCTCTCGCAGCACCCGAATTGACCCGCTGCTCTCCTCGTAGCTCCTCAAATCGAAGATCAGGGGTTGTGAAACCCGTCTCACCGCCTTGAGCGTGGTCTCGCTTCCTGGCTGGATCGACGTCGTAGTACTTGGTGATACTGTAGGTGGGCTGATGGGGCATTTGATGCTGGAGCTTCTATCTGTCTGACCCTCCAGCAATCCTTGGCTAAGTGTCCTGGGCGTCCACGCGTTTAGCAGCCCTTTCCTTTCTCTTTCCCACCTTTTCCTTTTCCTTCACTCTTAGGCCCAACAGCGGCCTTTCCCCCTTTTCCCTTGGACTTGCCCTTCTCCTCTTTGCCCTTGCCCTTGGTGCCCTTCATGTCTTTGGTCTTCCCTTTTCCTTTGTCTTTTCCCTTCAACTGATCCACCTCCATGGGGGCAGGTCCATTGATGTCATTCAAATTGGACTGCATTGGGCTCGTACTTGAAAAACTCAGTGCGGCCGACTCGTTTGAATGGCACCGTGGTGTTCTCGAGCTCTCGAGGACAGAAATCTGTCAGTTTGAGTTCAGCTGAAGCAGAGCTCAATGCACTGGTTTGAGCCGCAGCTGATGGAATATACCTCAAGAGGTGTTTAGAGTTCTTGGTGGGAGAGAACGTGACCCACCATTGCTTGGTTGACAACTCTGCAGCCCTACGCATGTCATCGAAAGGGACCTGGACGCCTACGACGCATAGCAGGCAAGTTGTTGTGGGCGCAGGACTTGGTGGCGCAGGAGGAGCTCAGGGTGAAGTCAGTTGGAACCGCGTACAACGTGGCTGACTTGGGGACAAAACCCCTGAGCAAGGCACGGATCCAATTGATCCTGTACTGGTGCAAGATCAACAACAAGGAACACCAGAGGCTTGGAGTGGATGAGCACCATCGGATGGCTGATGGACTGATCAGCAAAGGGAAGATCAACAGATTGGCCAAGCTGCTGAACAGGATCTTGCTGTTAGAGGGTCTTGAGCATGTGGCCGGGAACTCTATGGACGAAAGCAACACCTGTCTAGCAGTTGAGGAGACATCAACGAGCTCTATGGCACGATGGGTGATTGGCATCTTGGTCCTGATGATCATCCTCCTAGCTGGTGTGGTCTATCTGCTCTGGAAGAGCTTGCGAGAAGTGAAGGAGGACCTGTATGAATTGCGGCAAGACTGCAAGACAGATGGAACGATGATCAGCGCCATCGACTATGAGATGAAGGAGTCGAACAGGAAGCAAGAAGGTGTGAAGGAAGCAGTGCAAACGTTGGCCGAGTACATCCAAAAGGTGCACAGAGGACTTATCAAGATTGATGGGTTCGTGGATGACACAGAGATGAAGGACGAGGATTGGCAGCATTGCGACTACTTGCAGAAGTCCAATCGGAACGCAAATCTGCAAAAGTTGAAAACCCAAGCAAAAGAGCTGCTGGTTCGAAAATGCAATGAGGAGTTTGAAGACGAGTCCATTGATTTGGTAGCGGCATTCCCAGACAATGTCCCAGAGGAGGAACCACAAGAGGGTGAAACAGCACTGGTGCAGTTGGAGTCAGGACAACTTGTCCATATCTCTACAGAGTACCTGGAAGTGAGGGAACCGGAGAGTGACCCTGAGGATGAGACAACAAGGGAGACGAGGAGAGCAGAAAAGAAGAGAAAGCATGATGAAGAGATCGAGCGAATCAAGCGCTTGAAGATTGACGATCTTGGTGACCTTGACCTACCAGAAGGCCGATCAGGCCTACGAGCAAAAGAACACATGAATCAGCTCCATGACCATTGGGTGGTGGCTGACAGAGCAGGAGATGCGGCTGGTAGGGTCTTGGTGTATAGAAAGATGGAGGTACACCAGAAATTTCTGGACAGTGCCGCTTTGAGGTTTTAGGTCTAGGAGCTGACTCTCCGAGACCTAAGGAGGAGTGCGAAGATGAAGCATTCCAACTTTCATGGATGACACGCGCAAAACGTGCATACAAACCGAAGACCCTTTTGAGCGGATCAAAGAGCTCACGCAAATAGTTACTTTTTCAGCAACCTTTTTTGAACTTTCCAATCTTGTTCTCTGCATAGTGGAAGAACGAGGAAGCTATTGCGGATAGCGGCGTTCCTCGAAATGACATATTCTTGACGACCAAGCTGTGGGATGCCGACCACGGCTATGATGCCGCTGTCAAAGCGCTGGAAACAAGCCTTAGCAAGTTGAAGGTGGATTATTTGGATTTGTACCTTATCCACTCTCCAAACACAGGAGGGTTTGGACCAGAAGTGGGATTCTTTTGTTTTGAATGTGAATGGCTCTTCCATAGGACCAACGCATCTCACTCAACGGAGACATTTTTGTCCCACTTCACACGTAATAACAGTGTGATGTTCAACCGGGCATCAAGGATTTTGTAGTGGGTTAGTGCAGTTGAGAGTGCAGCTTGCACCATGACATTATCAGCTTTGGAAGTCATGGTAATTAGGTTGTCTTCCTTCCCATAACCGTGAATACATTCTTTTGTTGCTGAGATCCCTGAGGAAAGATTGTGAAAACTTGGGATGCCCTCATTCATATGCAGAAGCTGGGAAAGCTCAGATCTATTGGGGTGTCCAATTTTGGAATTCCACACTTGGAAGCATTGAAGAAGTATGGACGGCCAATGCCCGCAGTGAATCAGATTGAGATGCATCCCATGAACTATCAGGACTTCGGATCATGTCAGCACCCAAGTTCAAACACCGCCAGTCTCAAACTGCCTATCAGGAGGCAATGCGCTTCAAGCTTTGAGTGCATTAAGAACATCAAAGAGGTTTCCAAGTTCTCGCAAGACCGTGTTGTTTTGCCATACGACATGTACACAGCGCAAGAAGGTGTATTCTTTATCCACCGCACGGTGAGGTTTTGTTGCATCAGTTGTGCTTCCCCACTCACAGTGTGGTCTCCTCACAGACACGCACTGAAATAGTGAACTCAAATATATCCTTCAGTGCCAGAGCTGGAGCTTCTGAGCTCATATTGAGTGAGCTCATGGAAGCAAGATTGGTTTGCCAATATTGAATGGGCAACAGTTTTTTTTTACTCGTTCAAAGGTCTGACAGCAGGCTTGTCATGTCCTCCTGGTTCTGTCAGAGGTGACACAGGATTCGAGCGATAGCAAAGTCTGTATGGCTGGGTTCCGACAAAAAATACGAAACCGTTGCAAACCTCTGAGGGCGCAACTTGAGAATAAGGCCCCAGAATCTACTTCTTATGCAAGAGTCTTAAATGTCGTTCTTAGCACTAAGAATCTAAGACTACGCTAAACCCAAAGGGACCTGACTGAGTTTGTCTTTGCTTGACTGTGAAATCCTTTGAGCACGTACATCATTGCACTTAAAAGGGCAGAGGCAACAATCTGGAACGAGGACTCCTAATCTCTGCATCTCATGTCACGCAGTGACATGTAGCGACTACAGCATCCATGTTTGAACAATTGTCTGCCCAAATGTCCATGGAAGCCAACCAGCTTGAGAATTAGAGTCTTGGCTCGTAGCAGGTACACAGGGATAATTAGGCCCTTCGACTGGGAGGCAAAAAGAAGGTCTTCGTTGGTGGCAAAATCTGGTTCCGCCTGCAACCCCCTGCTGCTGCTTTTGTGCGTGCAACAGTCTCGCAAGACATGCAAACTGGTAGACCTTTGGCAAAGGTACCGCGCACACACACACACACACTTAGTCACAGGTTTATCCAGTATCATAGTTCACGGTGAAATGGATGTGGGAAACGCAAGGCGAAATGGTCAGCGCAGTTGAAATGTTTAACAACGTGTTCACTTGTCTGCAGAAACGCGGCTTCCAGCTGAGGGAAACCTGTTTGTGGGGAGTAGCGCGCGAAACCGCCATGAAGCAAACCGAGAGTGGAACAGCGTGATCAACAGTTCAGGGTGCAGGTACATCGGCAAGCGCCCTTGCCGATATCCTAGGAGCATGTGAGGAGCTTCGTTGGATGGAGCCTCACATGTCCTCTCCATCCCCCTGCGTGAAAAAAAACTCCTAGAGACGGAGGGCGACGCACACACACACACGGCCGCTTTGCGGCGCTAAACCTAAATAGTCACCTAACAAGCCTTAGAAAAAGAAAGGAAAGAGAACGGGAAACCGAAAAGCGCAGAAGAAAAGGGTAGGGGCAAAGGTGTGCAGGTCTGCCGCACGAGCGGCAAATTACGGGTCGAGTAGATACCTAAAAAGCCTTAGAAAAGAAAGAGAGAAAGACAGAAAGAGCAAAGCGAAAAGGTCAAGAGAGAAAGATAGGGGTAGCGAAAAGAGGTGTGGCTACTTAGCGCTTGACTACTTAGCCCTTGACTGAAAAAATAGCCGTATTTCAACCTAAAAAGCCTCTAGTGCAAAGGCAGACCTAGAAAGAGAAACGAACAGGCAAGAGAGAAAGAACCAAAAACCCGAGGGGCAGGGAAACGAGCCTCAAGAACCACCTAACAAGCCTGAAAGAAAACCTAACAAACGAAGAAAGCGCAAGAGAGAAAACGGGGGGGGGGGAAGAAGGGGTGTGTGTACATATGTGTGTAAACCGTATGCCCGGCGGCTTTGTGTTCCGTAGCTCGGCAGCTTTGCGGTCGGTTGATTCATGGGTGAAACAGTGACTCATGGAACCACAATCCAACAAATGCAGGAATGCTGAGTCAAAAACGTGATTCACAATGGCTTCAGCGCCTCTCTTGCGAGAGGATCACACTGTGTACCCAGTGCGAAGACACAGTGATACACACTTAGTCACAGGTTCATCCAGTATCATAGTCCACGGTGAAATGGATGTGGGAAACGCAAAGCGAAATGGTCAGCGCAGTTGAAATGTTTAGCAAAGTGTTCACTTGTCTGCAGAAATGCGGCAGCTGGAAGCGGCTGAGGGAAACCTGTTTGTGGGGAGTGCGAAACCGCCGTGAAGCAAAACGAGAGTGGAACAGCGTGATCAGGAGCTCAGGGTGCAGGTACGTCGGCAAGCGTCCTTGCCGATATCCTAGGAGCATGTGAGGCGCTTCGTTGGATGGGGCCTCACTCCATCCCCCTGCGTGAAAATCAAAAACACCTAGAGACGGAGGGTGGCGCGCACACTTAGGTTGATGCTCGCAAGAGCTGATTCAGTGAAGGTAGCCCACTCTAGCGATTACATTACCGGTGCAGTAGCCCTTGACTTGCAAGAACTGAAAGATGGTTGGGTCCGATCAACAGAAGTGCTTAACCTGGGTGATACCAAGGAGATGCATTAGCTCTTTACGGAACCTGCAGGTACACACCAAGGCGTCCCTTGGTGCTTCCCCTGTCACATCCCAGCTTCGTTGGGCCAGGTCGGATGTGACAGGCCTGGCCCTCCTGCCTTAAAAAAAGTAGCTTTGAAATAATTTACAATGTGTGAAGCCTAGCAAGCCTTAGAAGAAAGGAAAGGAAAAGACAGAAAGAGAAGACGCAAAGGGCAAGAGAGAAAGATAGGTGTACTGTAGTTACGAGGCCCACTAGTTACGAAACCTTCTAGTTACTGAATACTTAGCTGCGTGAATTAAGTGCACTACTTAGCGAGCTTAGCGAGCGGGACTTTAGTCTTAGGCCGCCCGGGTAGGAAAGACTAGGACAGGAGAAACAGAAGGAAAGGCACCAACGCGCAAGCGTGTTGAGTGCGACTTCCTTCTGTTACCCTAATTAGAGGGTGGGAATAGGAGGTGTGAATTCGCGCGCAAGGATGGGGTGGGGGCTCTAAGGCAGCGCTCCCTTGACTGAAAGGTTACCTGAAACCTCAAGAAAGGCCTCAAAGCAACAGTAGGAGGGAAAAAACCAAAAGAACCAAAAGAGATTACTTAGTCGCTTACCTATTGACCTATTGGTCCTCTGCTCACTCTCCTCACGCTCGGCTGGTGGAGCACTCTTACTCCTTCCTCTCCGCGGCTGCTCTTTCGATTTTTTTACACTCTTGAAGCCCCTGAACGTGTCGGGGTTTGTTTCGTTTGTCTGTCGCAAACCAGTGAAGATCCGAAAGAAGTTCCAGAATGAAGGATGAGGAATCAGAATGGGTCCCCCTTGGCGGGTCTATGCACACGCTGCGCCCCTCGATGGGGATCACGCCACAGCCCTCAGTGGGACTCTGTGGCGACACACACTTAGATTGATGCTCGCAAGAGCTGATTCAGTGAAGGTAGCCCACTCTAGCGATTACATTACCGGCGCAGTAGACCTTGACTTGCAAGAACTGAAAGATGGTTGGGTCCGATCAACAGAAGTGTTTAACCTGGGTGAAACCGAGGAGATGCATTTAGCTCTTTACGGAACCTGCAGGTACACACCAAGGCGTCCCTTGGTGTCACGTCCCAGCTTCGTTGGGCTAGGTCGGATGTGACAGGCCTGGCCCCCCTGCCTTTAAACAAATAGTTTTGACATAATTTTCAATGTGTGAAGCCTAACAAGAAAAGAAAGGAAAAGACAAGAGAAAACGCAAAGGGCAAGAGAGAAAGGTAGGTGTAGTTACAAGGCCCACTAGTTACGAAACCTTCTAGATTCTAGTTACTGAATACTTAGCCGCATGAATTAAGTGCACCAGTTAGCAAGCGGGACTTTAGTCTTAGGCCGCCCGGGTAGGAAAGACTAGGACAGGAGAAACAGAAGGAAAGGCGCCAACGCACAAGTGTGTTGAGCGCGACTTCCTTCTGTTACCCTAATTAGAGGGTGGGAATAGGAGGTGTGAATTCGCGCGCAAGGATGGGGTGGGGGGGCTCTAAGGCACTGCCGTGACCGGCGCTCTCTTGACTGACTTGACTGAAAGGTTACCTGAAACCTCAAGAAAAGCCTCAAAGCAACAGTAGGAGGGAAAAAACCAAAAGAACCAAAAGAGATTACTTAGTTGCTTACCTATTGGTCCTCTGCTCACGTTGCTCACTCTCCTCACGCTCGGCTGGTGGAGCACTCTTACTCCTTCCTCTCCGCGGCTGCTCTTTCGACTTTTTTACACTCTTGAAGTCCCTGAACGTGTCGGGGTTTGTTTCGTTTGTCTAGTGTCGCACATGGTCATGCGGTGATGTTCAGTATTTCGATCTCAGTAGGCCCTGCGGCATTCGATCTGTAAATCCAAGCAGAACGAACAAACCAGTGAAGATCCGAAAGAAGTTCCAGAATGAAGGACGAGGAATCAGAGTGGGTCCCCCTTGGCGGGTCTATGCACATGCTGCGCCCCTCGATGGGGATCACACCACAGCCCTCAGTGGGCCCTGGGATGTTGAAACCCACGCGAATTAGCGGAACGGTCTACAGGCTTGCCTCCGAACAGAAACATGACCATGAGCGTGAGAAAGTGTTCACTGGAATGGACGTGACGTTCTGAGTGGACTCCCCAAGTGTGTTTCTGGTGGAGGAGAGGGTGCCTGTGCTTGACTTTTGCAATCTCAATGGCGTCCAGGTGCAGGCATATGGTTCCATGTTCTTCGGTGGCTTGGCCGTAGGTTCAAATAAAGATACTTTGGTCCCATTGATTTGCTCGAAATGCAATGGGCCACAAGGGCATGCATTTGTGTGTTGTTGCTTTTTTCAAAGCAGACATTTTTCCACACATCAAGTCTTCTGCCATGTGGAGTAGAAATCCCCAGAGGCAGCGCATCCGTGAAGCGGCTTCAGACATTCCCGGGTTTTTGCATCAATGAGCCAAGGAAGACCTGAGTTCCTTGAACGACCTGAAGTCACAAGTGTGGTTAGGGCACATGGTGCCACCAGCTCGCAGGTGCAACATATATAGATGCTTATGTATTTTGTCCGTAAAAAACACCATTTCCACATTGCAGGTTAGAAGCTTTGTTTGTTCGGGACCAGCAAGTTAGTTGAGAACCTCGTGCCAGGTGCTTCTACGATGGGCTCTGCAGATGGGTTTTCAGATCATTCCAAAGAGCGTGAAAAAGCATCTGAGCGACTCTAAGGTTTGATACCGCCTTTTGTATAGTTCCCCAAATGGTTTACTGAGTTGGTGTTCTCTCTGAAAAAAACGAGCTGGCCACAGTCTTTGGCCATGCCCCTGAACCCTGTGTCCTGGACTTGTCCTCCTCTTGTCCTCCTGGTGCTGTGCAGTTGTCCTGCTGTTGTCCTCTGGCCGCACTGGCCAACGCTGTGTCCTCTTCTTGTCCTTTTGGTGTCCTCTTCTTGCGTCCTGGTGCTCCTATTTTCCTCCTGTGTTTCCAGAGGCAGAATACGATCTCTGGGTGCTTTTCTGGGAAGGCCTGAACCTCTCTTGGTCAACTCAGTTGGAGATCGTGAGGTTAGCGCTCCAAGAGCTGGAACGGCTCGTTATCGTGTCTACCATAACTTCAAGGCAGATGAAGCTGCCAAGGCAGCCCTTCAGTTGTTTTCACCGGAGTTTCTTTCTCACCACAATACTGTCAGTGAACAATACTTGCACTCAAGGAATTGCCACTAAACTTGCAGAGTTTCACACCAAGTGTGCTTTATCTTTTTCAATATAAGAAGGGCTTCGAAAGAAGTTGGAATGTTGTGTTCTGACAACTTGCGTGCGTTGACATTCTTGCCAGTGGTTGGTGCGCTTACCTAGTCTCGCGCCGTCGGGTGACTCACTTGATGAACCCATCTATCTGGAAAAGCTTTTGCCGTGGATTCGTAGCTTGGCATGGAGTAGAGGTTAAGTCTCCTCAGCTTTTGTGACATTTCGTGGCTAGAGCTTGTTGGGAACTTTCGTAAATATTCTGGCCTCGGCATCGGCTTGAGTGTTGAATCCGGATCGGCGTATTGCGTTATAGGAACGTGCGATTTCGGCCTGACGCATGAGCATGAGCATGTGTGTGCATCTGCCATTTTCCATGTGCCCTTGGCCCAATCCAGGGGCCCCTTTTTGATGAGCCAACTCGACCACAGCGGTCGGTGATAAAACCCGATCCATAGCGGCATCGCAGCTTCCGGTTCGTTCGCGCACCCTTTTTCCTTGCGAGCCCAATAGCTACCGTTGCACCTCCGTTGCGTGGTAGCGGAGCTGCGTGCTCCAGCGACCTTACAATATTCGATTTTAGTTGTTGTAAAGTTATAACTCACTTACCCTAGAAGAAGTCAGTTATATCTTAGTTATAACTCGAAGTTATAACTAAGTTATTTCCTATTTATAAGTTCCATAAGTAGTTCATAACTTACTTATAACTAAGAACTAACTACCTTCTTTTTCCCAAAAAAAGACGCGTTTTTTCGCGCGCAAACGGAGAGATCTCAGCCAAATGCTACAGCCGACGCGTCCAACTCAGTGTGTACAGTCGATACTTTGATCGATCTGTCGCCGCCAGCTCGCCGGTAGCCATCGAGTCGGTTGGTCCACTCGATGCCAGGTCACCTCGTCTGTCAGACGCCACGTCGAACCCCACTTGGTGGTTCCAGAGAACCGCAGGCGGTTGGAGCAGCTCAAAAGGATTGCTGAAACGAGTTTCTCGCCAACGGGTGGCCGACACAGGGCCGACGAAAGGCATGGGGTGTGGTAGACATGTCTTGGGGCCGACATATGGCCGACACGGCGACGGCGACGGCGTTCTGACGTGGGGCCGACACGCGGCCGACAACCGAAAAAACTTACATGTACAGAATGTCGTCGTATAGATACAAACATATATATATACAAACAAAAGGGATATAGATATAAGGCGAATCTATAAATGTTTACGCCCCGCCCTGCTATCGAAGCGCGTGTAGTCCTGCTGCTGCCTCCGTGTCTTTGCCATTGTCTCCGCAACGGTCGACATGCCTCAGACCTATATATTTCCGGGACACTTGAACCAAAAACTGCGCAATGTTTTTTTAGGTGAAACTCAGCTTTGTAACTACGAATAACTAGAAATAACTTTGTATAACTAAGACCTAACTAAGTTATAACTTCCACCTAACTACACCCGGTTTACTTATTATAAACTACTTACATCTAACTTGTTCTAGCCTTACTAAATTATAACTTTATGTTAAGTTCTTTAAGTATAACTATAGTTATACATACTTATCCTAATACAAGTTATGTTATCGAAATACAAGTTTACTTGTAGTTCCCTAACTAAAGTTATAACTTACTTATAACTAAAAAAGTATATCGTAGCAGCCTGAGTCACTATCTCCTGAACAAGTTCACGATGATCTTCCTTGAGGTCTGAGAGGTGACTGGCTGCTCCACAACGAGGACTACGGCTGGGACTCCTGGGGCTCATGGGCTGAGTGGCCGCAGGATGATGAGAACGCTCTCCCGACAGAGGACGGTACCTTCGATCCCAATGTTCCGGAGCCTCAAACTACTTCCTTGCCGAGTGCACCTACGAGGACGGCAGCTCCGTGTCCCTCAAGACACTTCAAGCCGACGATCGGCTGGTATTCAATTGTTCCAGGCTGGTGTGACTGGTGATCTTGCAGAGCTCAGCTTCGCCGACTCCTTCGTGTTGGGCGTCCTTCGTGGCTTTAGATTGATCCAGTCTGCCGGCCTGACGGCCGAAGAGCGGAGAGACTTTCTCTCTGCTACTCACGGCTCTCTTGACTTTGATGAAGTCGGCCGTGCCTTGCAGACCTTGTGGGACGACCAGTTCACCGGACATCGACCTGCTCCTAGTCTTCAGGCAAACTGGCATGAGATGGCCCTTGCTGAGGAACTTGGCAGAGAAGATGGCGTGCGCTGATGCACAACGCGAAATGGCGGCTCTGGGGGAGAAAGAGGCTTTGGGGGCGCAGCTCAAGGCATGGGAAAAGGGCGAGGAAATTGCTTCATCTCCCAGGGCCCACATCTCTAGCGTGAATGTCCTGACAGAAGACATCCCGGACCCTTCAAGGGAAAATCCAGAGGCAAGTCCCACTACATGACTGAGTATGACCCGTACACCATCGACGATTTCATGATGGGCAAGAAAGGTGGCAAGAAGGGCAGACATGCCCATTGGCTGGAAGCTCAAGCCTGGCAGAAGGGCAAAGGCGTATCCAACCGCTTCAAAGGCAAAGGACCGACCCTCGACCACCAATCAATGCCTACAACGCTGAAGTCTTCTTTGGTGGCCTGGAACTCCAGAACCATGAAGCTGAACCTCCCCGGACCAGGTTCAACTTTGCCAGCGACTCATGGCCTGCTTGATTGCGGAGCAACGGCTGGTCCACAGCTGGCGGTAGAGAACTTGATTTCTTCAATGCTTGCAAAAGATAGCAAGGCCGTGATTCAAGCCGGCAAGGATGATGGGCGGCATGTCAGGTTTGGGAATGGCAAGTGGGGTGGCGCTTTGTATGGTGACCCAATCCACCTGATGTGCATGACCCCTCACTTCGCTCGACGACGATGGTGCCGGTCCTGGTTGGGATGGATCATTTGTCAGGTGAACGTCACCCATGATCATTGACTTTGCCACAGGGCTTGCATTGGACTCCCGCGAAAAGGTCCCCGAGGTGTACCAGGTGGAGGTGAACGCCAAGGGACGACTATGTGATGGACATCGTCTACTTCTTAACACGGGGATTCGAAGGTCGTGATGGTCGCCCCCAGGTCTACATGGTTGAGGAGCATGAGATGTTTGAGAATACCTACCTCCAGTTCATGCCCCTATATAGAGTTCATGACCATGGATCTTCATGCACCGCGTCACGATTCGGAACGACTCAAACGATCTTTGTTCGGAAACATCTTTGTCGGCGATGCAGCTCACGCCTCAAATGGGCAGGCCACCTGTGGCCACATCTGTCAATTCGCTATCCCCTGATTGCTCGCGCCATGTCCCGCAACCAAGCTGCGCTGAGGGAGAAGGGAACACGGTGGGGGACATTCGGGACACAACGTCCAATCTGCACGAGCGCCTGACCGGCAACCCCAGCAAGCCTGGACTTCGACCTTTCGACGAGGGCAGTGGGAGTGGATCCAAGAGATCCCCGCCTGAGTCCCGATCAATGGCCATGGCGAACCCCCATGCCAAGTACCTCCACAGTGCAGTCTGCAATCTGCGCTTGCGCTACATCCCTCGCCAGGGCTCCCATGGCCAGAGCTCCAAGGTGCAGAATCCCACTATGATCCTCAGGATGCTGACGACCGAAGGAGGGGATGGACTCGGCACGTCCATCTGCCGCAATCTGCCTGGCGATGGAGAAGGCTATTGACATCGAGGAGACCCTCTCCACTCTGATTGGCCAACAAGTGATGATGCTGAAGGAAGAGGAGACTGCCACCAAGGGCTACAAGAAGGCACCAAGCAGCCCGAAGAGCAAGGCGTCTGTTGGGATGTAGCGCCGGCCTCATTGCCGAGCCCCAAGCGAATCGGGATCAAGAAGACTTTCAGGAGCTGGAATTGGAGGACCTCCTGAAGGAGGAAGAGATGCAACAGCTGCTGCAGCTGCTCGACGAGCGATGCATGGAATGCGATCAGGAGGGAACCCTCAGCGATGGAAGGGACCAGCTACCATTGCACCTCCCTTGCAGAACGTTAAAGGTAATGAGTTGGCCAAGCCTGCCCCTATTTTCGCTCAGATTCGTATGATGGCAAACACGGTTAGGAGCTTTGAGAGGAACCTGCGATCATCCGTGTTCCTGATTGAACGCGTGGCCTTCTCGAGATTGCTGTGGGGTCTCGGTACTTTCTTTTGTGCTTCTGGCATTGGGGCGAGGTGTGTTTTTGAGCATCCTGCGTTTTCATTTTCCGCATTCCATGCTTGTGTTGCGCAGCTTCCCGCTAAGGGATCGCTTCGCAGTAATTTTTGCGGATTAATTGGCCGATTTGTGTTGATGCAGTTCGTGTCCGTCTGTTGTCCTCTTCTTGTCCTTCTTTTGGTGTGCATCTTGGCAGCGGCTGCCAGCCAGTCTCCAGAACCTGTCCTCGTGTTGTCCTCTTGTGCTATCTTTTCCTCTTGGCAGTCGTCTTCTTTCTGACCGGCTGTCAGTCCTCCTCTTGTCCTCGTGAACCCTATGTCGACCTGTTGTCTTCTTGTTGTCCTCTTCTTGGCCTGTCGCCCTTTTCTTGTCCTTCTTCCAGCTTGGTGCGGCCGCTATCCCGTCTCCAGTCCTTGTCCTTTTGTTGTGCTCTTTTTGTCCTCTCTTTGCCCTCTCTTCTTGTCCTCCTGTTGTCCCCTTCTTGTCCTCCCTTTGTCCTGTTGTTGACCTTTTCTTGTCCTCTTCTTGTCTTCCTGTTGTCCTTGTCTTGACATCTGGTAGACCTTGTGCTCCTGTTGTCCTCTTTTATATAGCCCTTTGTTCTTTTTCCTTATCTTGTACTTTTCTTCTCTTGTTGTCCTCCTGTTGTCCCGTTGGTGTCCTGCTGGTGTCCAGATGACAGCGTGGCAGCATGTAGATAAAATTATGACAGCGTGCGCGCGCGAAGTAAGTGCGAGCCGCCAAGCGCGAAGACCGCAGTACCAGCATGTCCATGTGGCAGCCTGTCAGCATGTAAAGATGACAACGTGCAAGCGCGCGTTACAAAGAAGTAAGGTACTAGGAAGACAAGTCAGAAGCCGATGCCCTCTCCTTTTCTTCTCCTTGTCCCCCTCTTGTCCTCCTTGTGCGGGGTTCTCTCATACAAAAGAAGAGCTGCCCAGGCCTATCCGGGTGTCCTCTTCCTTTCCTCTTGTAAAAGCTTTTCGCTCCTCTCTTCCTCATGTTATTGCCTCCTTGTTCTCCTTCATCGGCCGTGGCTGCCAGCCTATCTCCGCTTTCCTCGTGTTCTCCTCTTGGCGTGCTCCCCTCATGTTGTCCTGTTGTCCCTTTGGCGCTGTCCGTCGCAGCTTGTCTCTTGGTGTGCGGTGTGTTCGTGTTGTTTTCCTTCTCTCATCCTTTTGTCCTTTGTTGTCCTTTTCTGCCTTCTGTTGTCCTGCTGTTGTCGTGTTGTTTACATTGCTTTCCGAGGCAGGGGCTGGGGCTGAAGGTGCCCACCACAACAGTAATTCTTGCCGATTAAGTTGTTTGGGGTCTATGCTGGTATAACTTTTGCATGCTTGCTGCTAGCCTTTCATGCAGGTTTTCTCCGATTTCTGAGGCACCGCATCGAAGAAAACCTGAAGGTCTTTGATATAGAGCTCACACAGATGGAAATGGATTCACTGAGTTCCATGAAAGGAAAATTAGATCAGTATTGGCAGCCCCTTGGGGCCCCGGTGGACGTGGCCTGGTCGAACTTGTGGTTTTCCTTGTTGCTTGCTGTGCTTTGGCCTCCAAAAAGGTAAAACGATGGAAAACATGAGAATTGGGGCAAGACGGCAAGACAGTTGGAAACTCTTCGGTGGCACCATGTAATTCTAGGTGGGCGACACCTCCAGAGGCAAAACTGAGCTGTGAACTTGGACCGGATTCCATCAACGGGTTTGCTGCAAAGTGATGAAAAAGTGCAATCAATGCCTCACACTGCCCGTTGCACCACCATGGTGTTGCAGTACTAGACTCTCAGAGTGCTTGTGTATGCTCCGACATATGTTGAAAGACATTGTTGACATATATGTAAGAACAACTTGATTGATCCCAGGCCGAAACTCTCCGAAAAGAATTTGAGACTCTGCGGCAGAAACGCATGGGTGGGTCCAGGAGACTTTGCTCTTCGATTTTAGGATATGTCAGCCCACACGGTCAATAAGAATTCAAACAGCATAGACCTTGGTTCATGATTTCAGAGGAGCTCGCGTAGAGGCTTTTGTGCATTTGTTTGTAAGTTGTACCGATCAATTTAGACTTCTTCTAGACATTTTTTTGATACAGGAGCAGCTATGCCAGCTGCCGGCAGAAGAGAGTTGCCGCTGAGCAGCGCCGAAAGGCGAGACCGTGCAAACACAGTGAACACATGCACAGAGGAGGAGTACGTCTTCGCAGACTAGAATGTTGCATGCCAATGTGGTTTCTAAAGGAATGGCCTAGGAGTACCCAACAGCATCATCCTCAACTCCCTCAGAAGAGATGACACCAAAAAATGTTAAGAGAGCCTGTGTGCCAGCCCTGAGCAACCTACAGAAAACAAGCAAAACTACAGAGTCAACCAAAGCGCCCTGCTTGCATTAGGCCCTTCAATCATACCTTTGGCTGGGGTCTTTTCTGACAGGAATTTCCAGTTCTTGTGGGCTGATTCTGGCCCTTCTCCTGCATCTTCTCACTTCTTGGTTGGGTTCTCACTTCTCACGTTTTGTAGCGCCGAGCGCTCGCACGGTTTGGGCTTGCTGCAGAACGGATGGCATCCTTTCGGTCGTCGCGGCGTCACCCTCCGGTCGGTGGCCTCCCAAGCTCTCTTCCACTCTTCGGCGCGAAGGCTCCAATCGGCTCTACCTCCCAGCCCTGCCCTCGCCCTCGCTTAGAGATGCTCTTGAGTCGTTTGATGACCTTTCTAGTTGACACTATCTGTGGCGAGCTGCCAATAGAATCGCCGACACACCCACTGCAACATGGACATGTATATAAGTTGAAGATAGTTGAAGTGCTTGTGTCGTAGCTGCAAGGCAGCTCAAAGGTGGTAGGCGGAGTTGAAGAGACGCTGTGGCCGTTGGGGAGGCAGTGATTCTTCTGTTTTTGTCTCCTTGCATTCTAATTCGTCCGCCCAGTTGTTGTCAGACCACCCAAGACACATAGGCTATAGGCTGTTCAAGCACCCAGACTTGAATAGGACTTCACCCATTGCAAGCCTGAACAGCTTGGAAGTTTGGAGTCTTGTTTTTTTTGTAAAATACATATAATATAATCTATATATATGCAAATAGTTTGATCATTGATTCAGATTCACAGATATTAATCTGAGGTTTCGAGTAGAATTTCGGCCAGGAGCTTCAACTGGAGCTGATGGCTATAGCACGAAGCTTGCAAGCTCCTGAAGGTCTGAAACAAGTGCCACCACTCTTTCTTCCATCAGGAGATCATGCTGCTTGCAAGCAAACACACTCACACAATGCTTCCTTTCTTTTTGTTGCGGACTGTGATGTTTTCGTATTCGCTTCCAATTGTCCAACAGGAGCGCCGGAAGTGCGGAATGCGTCCCTGTTCCGAGAGCTCTACAAGCAACAGTGTCGTCCTTTGTGAAGATTTGCACATTTGGATCAAGCGCTTCAAACTCGACCACTTTTTGCACTTGAGTCATATTGAAGCAATGAGACTGGTACTGGTACAGTAATTGGTTTTGTTCGATCGCGTTCAGGCAGATGCACCTAGCCGCCATGAGAGAGTTGGTGGCCGCAACCAGCCAACAGATCCACGAACGCGAAGCTGCAACTTCGATCAATTGGATTCAAAAAAACATGCTATAGGCTAGATTGGGGTAGGCCGTAGAGGTACTGTAGCTAGTAGCTAGAGGTAGGGAGTCGCTAGTCGAAGAGGTAGCTAGTACCTACTAGTGGACGCGGACAGCTCACGCTTCTTCAAGGAAGCTTCCCCCGCCGCCCTAAAGAAGGCGGGGGAAGCTTCCTTGAACGCTCGCACTATTCATTTGGTTCCTGGATTTTAGGGAAACTTAAGGTTGGAGGCCATCGCTAGTAGGTTGCATCAGGCTTTTTTCTCACGCTGACTGTGGCATTGGCCACGTTGTTTGCTTCGCGGTTCACTAGTCACTAGGTGTTGGAACGCGTGAGCGCACAAATTCAGCACATTTGCCAAGAAATGGTGCTAGCAACTAGCATTTGCATGCATTTGCAACAAATGCCTCTGCATGGATCCTGAGATGAAGCTTACCCGTTACCCAGGAACTAGACGACGAACTGGATATTCTTCTGGGAAGTGGTCTTCCGAAGTTCCTGGCCGCTTTGAAGTCCGAGGCGGAGAACCCCCCAATCAATCCTTGTAAGAACAACCGGCTTTTGTAGGCAAAGGCTGCAGAAAGAACCTCATTATGTGTATATATATATATAAACAATTTGCAATCTCTCAGTCGACATGTCTGGTGCAGGGCATCATTGGAAAGTGCCCTGAGCTGGAAGAGGATCCAGACCGAGCAGGAAGGCTCCGCTCCTTACTGCTGAAATGAGCGCTGGCCAAAGAGAAAAAATCAGCAGGCGTGCGTGAAATGAAACACTGCTGGAAAAGATGAAAAGACAAGGAAGGTCTGATGAGCCTAGAGATATCTAGAGTCTAAAGGTCTGAAGGTTCTTTTAAAGCCCGTGGCCCTGCGATATGACTTAATTAAGTAGGTGCCTACTCAATTAAGTAAGGAAATAAGCTATTAGCAACAGGAAGCTCCCAGCTAGGACGCAGGATAGCTCACGCTTCCTCAAGGAAGCTCGCCCCGCTGGGGGGAGCTTCCTTGAAGAAGCGCTCGCACTAATGATTTGGTTCCTGGACTTTTAGGGAAACTCAACTCATTGTTTCCAACCGTGAAACAAACACAAAAGTACTTAGCTCTAAGTACTTGCTACTAGACACAAGGGGCCTTCCAAAAAGGCATTCTGGAAGCAGACACAGAAGGACCGAAGCACCTTCCTTTTCTGCTTTCTTTCATTTTTTCCACCAATTCTGTATTTGTCTTATTTGCGTTTGTATCGTTTCTCTCGTTTGTCTCATGCTCTGGCTCCGTTGGCTCCGCTTCTCTGGCGAAATCAGGTACAGGGACCGCAGACCCACCGACCCCTTCTTCTACCCCACGACGGTGCGCTCAAGCGAACCGCTGTTCCTTTTGCAAACGCAAAGAAGAACCTTTGAGACCTGTGAGAATCTGTGCTTGGTAATGAATGAGCTTCACATCTACCGAAGGACAAGGTGCCCTCCTCGTTGGTTCCGAGTTTTGATGTGGTTCATATTGAATATAAGGTTTATGATGTGTATACATATATATATATATATGTCGTATTGAGTATATAGTGTATATGTAGTGTAAGTCCTCCATGCTTTCTCGCCGCCAAGCTCCTCATCGGCTCAAGACCTTGATGAGCCTCGTGCACTCTGCTGCTGCCCAGGTCGGACTAGCTGCTACGCTGGTGCATTCGTTGCTGCGTGAGCCGCAGCTCCCATTTCCGTGCCTCACGGAAGAGATCTTCTTGCACCGGCCCTCAGTGCTGCTTGGCTTGTTCCTTGGATTGCTACTTGGCCAGATCCTCGAGGCTCTAGGCTGCACTGGTCTCTGAGTTTGAGACAGAGGGCCTTCTGGTCCCAAAACCTTCGGGTGGCTCGTTTTGAGATCTGCCGTTCGGCACACCTGCTGCAAAGGTGTGTTATCCGACAGCGAGGAAGAGAAGGATACCTTAGCCAAGGCCGATGCACAGCCGGGGAAGCATTGGGGGTGGATCCTATGGTGGCAGCAGTGACAAAGCCGACTTCCATCGCGCAGCAAAAAGACGACTCTGGAGGCATGTTAGACGGTGGTGAATTTGTCGGCTCCTCAGATGCATCGGGCATGCCTACTTCCCGGAAGAATGCAGCCGCTCGGTTCCTCTCCCGCTTTGTACCAATAACAGATCTACCGCAACATCAGGCGCAACATGGAGCAAGACTTCATCCTGAAAGCGCAGATGCCGGGCTCCCCATCAGTCCCAGTCAGTGCCCGAGGTTGGTTGGAGGCGAGATCCAAAGTCCAGAACTTCCGGACGCCAGTGACTTTCTTGTGGGGCATTGCAGGGCTGCTAGATTGTTTACAAGACAACCGCGTTGCGGAAGCCAGGGCCAGAGCCTGTCTTTTGCTTTACCTGGTGGGTTTTCGTCAGTCCAGGTTGTTCGCCGCCTGGTAGTTCAGGTTTTCACGGGGAGGAGGAGGCCCGGTGAGGGTCCTCTGTCCTCTCTCATTGTGGTTTTTCTTCAGTTTCAGTTACAGGAATTGAAACATTTGGAACAGTCAGATCAGCAGGGAGTGTCCTGAGAGAACGTACAGACACCTGAAGGTGTATAGGACCCCCCCTATGCCAGAACATCCTCCTTCAGCTTCAAGAACTCAACGCACTTCAGCCTAGCCTCACCAACGACATGTACCACTCATCCACTCCCCCAGCAAGGGGGGCGCTGGCGAAGGTCAGGCAAAGCCGCTGCAGCCCGCTACATCCCAGACTCGGCGCCCTCAACGCCATCTGACGAAGAACAGCCTGCAACAAGCCACAACCACTATTCCAAGTTAGCGGCAACGCGCGCAAACCAAGCCACAGCCACCTGTAATTGGCTTGCCGACATCACCGCCCCTGATGGTTTTTCTAACGTCTGGTAACTTCAACAGCAGGAAACTTGGTACCAGGTTTTCGCCTGAGAACAACATCTCTTGTCCGCTTTCAACAACGACGCGCTGCAAACTTGTCTGGTAAACAAAACCCTGCGGCTCTTGAATGACATTCTTCATGAAGTGGTTGATAGCTCGCGTGTCCCACACAAGCCGTAGCGCAGGGTCACCCGATGCCATAAAGGCCTCCGCAATCGGAGTGCCGCAGGCTCCATTGGGCATGGCCTCAGCCCTGTGGTCTGCTTTTTTTGTTCAAGAGCGTTACTAAGCCCCTGTCGAGCAGAGCACGGGCGTCATCGCATTCGATTTGCGGCCGCAGCAGAGTTTTTGAACGCTTTGAGAATGTCTATGAAGGCCTTGTGTCCCACACCGGGCAGCTCTGGCTCAATCTGACTCAGTGTCAGGGCGTGAGAACCATGTAGGACAATCGCTCAAGTGGTGAGCCTCATGTTTCCAATCCTTGAGAGACACGCGTGCCAGCTTTGAGAGCCATGGTGTTGGCCTTGATTTTCCGGCTGAGAACGCAAGCGCTGGTGAAGCTAGGCTCCTCCATTTGGCCAATGACCAAATAGTGCTCGCCTTGGGCAGCGAAAGGACACACTTCCTCGCGATTGACCAACAAGCTCCTGCGGACCTATGCTTGCCTGCAGCTGGGAGCATGCTGAGCTGGACTATAGCGCTGGTGAGCCTGCGACAGAGATGAACAGCTAAAAGTCGTTCCGGACCCCGCTGGCCGGACCAAGTTTCACCAGGATGGCTCAAAGAAAGACAAAAATCATGAAGGCTGACCGCGCTGTCCTTTGTTGTTATTTGACTTGTTTGCGTACTAGATAGTCCTAGTTCCTGCAGGTTGACATGGGCAAGGCTGGTTGGTCGTTCGCGATTTTTGTGGTGGTCTTACTATGCCATTTAGGGTTGAAGGTGGCCACGAAGTCCTGTGAGCTCTGGAGTTATGATTTTGTGTCCCTCATGGCAGCTGACGACTGAAGAATCGTCTGGGGCAAAGCCGGCTTGTGGCTCGCGATCCTTTTTGGCAATCTGTCTACGTCATTTGGGTTTGAAAGTTGCGGTGAAGTTCTGTGGGCTCTTGGGTTATGAGAGTTTCAGGTCCGCTCGCAGGAATATGATTTGGATGGCAGCCAAAGGCAGAAATCTGGCACTCCCTGAGGGAGTGACCGAAGGGATGAGCGCCAACCTTCCTGGCAAGGAGTTCAGGCCCTTGCTTTCAGTCTAAGGAAGTGGAAACTATTGTTCAGTTCTTATCTGGTCAGAGCTGTCACCGATGCCAGCCTACTGCTACAGTGAACCGGGGGCGGGTCGAGTGCGAACCTTCCTCGCCTGACTCCTGTTAAGGAGAACCGGCCTTCACTTCGCATCTACGAATCTACGTGGGTGGCAGTCGATTGGCTTCCCCTCAGTGCGTAGCCTATTTGTGGCTGCGTGAAATAGAGCTCCATGGGTCTACTTTCTTTGGATGGTTCCTTGTATTTGTCGTCGATTTGTTGGCTACAACTTATCAGCGCAGCTTACACCCTATCTCTTGAGTCTACTCTCGTTATTGCGGGTTTGGTTTTGAACAAGCGCAGTTGTCCCTGCGCACTCGTTCCCCGTAGCAGAGCTCCTTTGATCGTCTACATTTTTCTTCTTCTTCCGTCTATATGTCCTTCGAGTGGAGCTGAGACTGTACATTGATGCATTCAAGCCGACCCTACTTTCCCTCCCTGCCCACCCTGGTCACTGAGCCAGTTAGGGGCGCGTGGAAGGAGCAAGCTCCGAAGGAGTTGTGCTTGGTTGATTCTTTTTGGTTAACCTTTTGCACAAAAGGGTGCCTATGGCATCCCACTATGGTAGGCGGGCTTGGATGCCTGTTGATTCTCAGACGGCTCGGGGATAAATATAGGCCGCCTGACGAAGCGAGGGTTCGCACAAGTGCATATATATATATTTACAATTATACAGATAGTATATATACACATACATATATATATATACATAGTATAAAAACAGCCAGTATATAAACAATATCTATAGTCCTATACATATAGCGTCTATATATATATATACAGATGTAAATTTTTCTGTGAAACCCAAAGGGCAGTTGTTCGGCTCTGGGCCCAG